TAGTCCAAACTGGACAAACTAAACACCTTTAGAGTTTTTATGACAACTGAAGCTGCCACAGGTTCTTTTTCATGTTTGGAAGGAGAGGGGACGATGATGGGTGTTCAGCTGCAACGTGACACTTCACCACTAGATGTCACTAAATTCTACACACTGAACCTTTAATAGTTGAAAAATATGATGTTAAGGTGTTTAAAAAAAGATTTTAAGGGAATATTTAAATAGCAGAAATGTTTTTTAGTTGAAGTTGATGTTTCCTTGTTTTTTTTATCATTTTTACTGTCTGAAGATAAAAATCGCTCATGTTTTGATTCAGGGGTTCACTCACATGACTTAAATTCCTGGTTGATTGAATGAAGATTTATGGGGGTTTCTTCCTGTTGTCGTCAGGTGGACCGTGGTGACAGAGATGAGTGCAAGTCGCAGTGCTGCAGGTGTGACGGTGTTTGATGGACGCATCTTTGTATCAGGCGGCCATGACGGTTTACAGATCTTCAACACGGTCAGTTTAACAGTAAAAACACACTAACTGATCGATACAGCTGATCAATACTGATTTATACCCAAAGGTCGATATATTTATTCAACCACTGAGCTTGTGAACATGAATAAAATAAAACATTATTGACAACAATTTTTCTCACCTTTTAAAACAGATTTTTATTTATTTACACCCCCAGGTGGAGTACTACAACCACCACACCAACAGGTGGCACCCTGCAGCAGCGATGCTGAACAAGCGTTGCCGTCACGGGGCAGCGTCTCTGGGCAGTCACATGTACGTAGCGGGGGGTTACGACGGGTCAGGCTTCCTGAGCGGGGTGGAGGTGTTTAGCTCGGCGTCGGGGCAATGGAGCCTCCTGGTGGCGATGAACACACGGCGCAGCAGGGTGTCTCTGGTGTCCACGTCAGGTCGTCTGTATGCTGTGGGTGGATACGATGGACAGTCCAACCTCAATTCAGTGGAGATGTACAACCCAGACACCAACCGCTGGACCTTCATGGCCCCCATGGTCTGTCATGAGGGAGGGGTCGGGGTGGGCTGCATCCCCCTACAGCCCACCTAAACTGGCCAATCAGAGGCTGTGGACGGATGTGTTACTGCCTCCTGCAGGCAGGGAGGCAGCGCCCTCCTGTGGTGTTCAGTGAGCTTTATTGGTACTACGGTCATGCTTAGACCTGCATACTGAGGTCAGATCTGTAGGATTATGGGAAAAAACTGTAGCGCTAGCCTACAAAGGCTACCTGCTAGCATTGTCCTGGACATTGTGTATGGACCAGTAAATATTCGTTTTGTACTTGATTGAATTGACCAAAGGGATGTCACTTCCTGTCCAGACAACACAAAGCTGCTGATGAAATGGGATGACTGCTTGGATCCGTTTTCACTGGACCATTTATCACTCATCTAATGAATCAGTTATGGTCGACAGAGTGACACATCCCCCTCCTCAACCAACCATAAAGTCTAATCTCTGCTGCACCTGCAGAGTGTGTCCTGATGGTGGCGCTGCAGGAGACAGGTTCACCAGGATCATTGTGTGTAAGGTGACTCCTCCTGATTGAGTTTGACCTGACTCACATGTTCTCTATATGACATCACTTCCTGCGGATGGCTCCAGAACTTCTCGTAGAATCTTGATGTTTTTAAATTTCCTTCAGTGTCACAGTCAATCCAGCTGATTCCATTATGATGTCATCAATCGTAGACTCAATGATGATGTTCTCCTGCTTGTTCTAATGAGTGAACATGTTTCTATGACAACCCCCCCCCCACCTCATTCACATATGGTTATTTATTTCATAATAAAAAAGTTAAACTCAGTCGAGTTTAATAAAAACACGTTAAATGATCAACACGTGTTTTTATTTCATCGTCAGAGGTCATTCACACCTCTGTGAGGTTAT